GTGTTCTCTGAGTGAGAAACAGCTGGAAGCAGTGTATGCTGCTCTGCAAGCCTGTGAAAGCACCATAGCACAACAGACAGTGGAAGTGCAGACAAAATACCCTACAGAGGGCTGGGTACAGATGTGGACAGCCAGTCCCAGGAGTGGAGTGGCATAGGCCCCCACTTTTACATGTTGGGGGACATACCTCCAACAGTGGGCCTCTTTCTCAGCTAGCATATTGGCAGCTGAACTGGCAAGTTTTGGGACCCATGACATACATGGCCCAGGAATCAGTCTGGGAAAATGGACTACAGGACTTGACTCACAGTCCCTATGCAGAAGGGAAAGAGGGACCTCTGGCTGATGCTGATATACTGATGGGTCTAGCTATGACCTAACCCCACAATGGACAGCAGTTACTGTCTAGCCCAGTACACTCTGGTTTGGAACCGGAAAAGGCAAGTCAAGCCAACAGGCAGTTTTGGACAGTGTGATTGCTTGTGATCCATCAAGAAGGCCCCCTACATGTGTGCATGGACAGCTGGGCCATCCTGGGGATGGTGCTCTGGCTGCTGGCTTGGGCAGCTCAGGAGTGACCGACAGGGGGCCCTCTCCCTTGTAGGGTGCCAACCTATGTTGAGATGTATGGGAACATGGCCAAAAAGTAGGGTATCATGGTTCAGAACATAAGCCCCTCTTCTCACCGGGCAATGACTGAACAGATGCTGTCATGGTTTGGGGGATATTTTGCAAGGGAGAACAATATAATACAGGACACACATTTTGTAAGATTTATAATAGTCATCCAGGAGCCTCAGGTAGGGAGCGCCAGTCTTTGGACCGGCGGGTCACTCCCGGCCTCGTAGGCCACCGGAAGGAGGGCTTCCAGCGCACAGGGAGCCACGGGCGGGGAGCGCCAGCCTTCTGGCTGGCTAGCTTCTTGCCTCGTACGCCCCCGGAGGGAGGGCCCCCAGCGCAAGGGGAGCCATGCGCTGGTGAGCGCTGTTGCGCGCCAGCCCTTAGGCCAGCCGCCACCCCTCAATTGAGATCTATCATGACACAGAGAAACAGTGACACAATTGGCCCACCATGAACCAACTGCAGTTGCCCACCCACAGATGTCTGTGAATCATTCAAACTTTGAACAACCACTGGGAATACATGCCATACAACGGGCCACTCTTGCTCCTGCCATTGAGAACCAGAAAGGTCCAGAGCCAGTGGAGGAGCAGCTGCTGAACAAGGACTCAGAGAACATGAGAATGCTGACTAAGCCCACAGAGTCAGAGGTCCAGTGGACTGGGGTCACAAGAGCCGCTCAGAAGCTGTAAACCAGGAAGACCTTGCACAATATCTGCAGAGACTCATTGGAAGCCATTCTTCCCCTGACAGTACAGGCTGTGGTGGAGCTCCGGAGAAGCCTGCAACAGGATTCCTGCTGCCTGTGCTGACAGCTGGGGAGAGGACACTAACTGGTTGTGGGGTCCCAATGCGATGGGAGGCTGGAGAGAAAATGCTACAAAAAATGGCTTTCGCCCCAGACGACTACTTGATTTTTGACAACCCTTAGGCTGTAACTACTTGTTAGATCCTTCTTGTGTATCTCTGTCTTCCTGAGAAACCACTTTGAAGATACCACCATGTATTACAGCAGTCATTGATATTTTCCTACTAATCTATCCATAACTCTGTAATGTTTGTATTGTTCCTATCCTATTTCATAAATGGATGTATGTTTATTATTATGTGTTTCCTACAACCATTGAGAATTATTGAATGATTATTCAGTAGGTCCCTCATGTATAGTTCTATTTATATTCTTTAGAAGCCACTTTGAAGATACCTAAGTATAGTACAACTATTGATAATCTCCTACCTCTTTTGTCTGTAACTATTTGTCTATTTGTTTTCCTGAGAAACAATCTTATAGATAACAATATGTAAAACAATAACCATTGATAATTTCCTTCCACTTTGTCTGTAATTTGGTAAGCCCCTCCTATTATTATGTTATCCTTCTTTTACTCTTTAAAATTAAAAAAAAAAAAATAAGAGTCATCCAAAGAATGATATACAAGAGAGTGAAGGAAATCTGTCCACGCACTATAAACCAGGAATCCAGCTGTGGGCCTGGATCCTGCGATAACATCCTACAGGAGTCCAGCTGAATACCTAGAGCCCACAACAATGCCTCTCATGAATCCAACTGGAGGCCCAGAGCCCATGACAGTATCTCATGCAGGCCTGTTTCATGGATCTGCACTGGGAAGGCCCAAAGGTCAGTGGTGGAATCTAGAAAGTCTGTGCCAGCAGAATGAAGGATCTGTGCCAGCAGGCTGAGGGATCTGCACTGGAGCCAAGAAGCAATGCTCAGAAGAACCAGAGCTCCCCCAAAAGGTACCCCAGCCATCCTCAGCAACAGTGAGGTCCTGAGCTCCTCTGATGATCAAGACGGCTGAGTTCCCATCAGGGAAGCCAATACAGCTAGCTTCTCCAGAAGACCAGCAGTGCACCATCTTCTCCAAGCCAGGAAGCGATGCTTGAAGTGAGGACCAGAGCTCCCCCAAAGTGAACCAAAGCTGTTCTCAGTGCCAACAAGGTCCCAAGCTCCTCAGAGGATGAAAACAGCCAAGTTCATCAGGAGAGCCAGCATGACGAGATCCTCCAAAAGAACCAACAGCTCCTTACAGCTTCTACCAGCTACCAACAGCCTCACTTCTTTTCCAGTTCTGCCTCTTATGCTGCTGGCAACAATGCTCAAGTGGGCCTCCCACATCTAGTACCACACTTACTCAGTGCAGCTGGGGGTTATAAGTTGACCACCAGTTGTCAATCCACTACAGATGCCTTGACCAGGCACTGCAATGGTTGACTGCAAGGAATATTGTCTGACCAGGGGCAAAGACCAAAGACCTAGCCATCTAAGTTGAAGCACCTGCTTAATATATGGCTCAGATCTTGGAATGTTACCCACCAGGCTTTGATGCTGGTTATGTATGAAACTGTTCAAATGAAAAAAAAGTGGTTTTGCAAAACCACATGGCTCTTGATTTGCTGATTGCAGCACAGGGACTTGTGCTGTTACATATAAATTGTTACATTTATATACCCCTGACCTTTGAGGGGGTGGGATGTAGGCACCATTTGCTGCCATAATTCTGCCTACATAGGCCCCAACCCTAATCTAGTTTTTTTGAGCAAGTTCAGTAAGAGCCAACAACTTACCTGTGATAGGTAAGTACAACACTAACTACCAAGTGCCAAACAGTATGAGGTATAATTCTATTTAAATTCTAAGGTGGGTATGGTGGTACATGCCTGTTATTCCAGCACTCTGGGAGGCTGTGGTAGGAGGACTGCAAGTTGTAGCTCAGTCTACCCAATTTTTTTTTGTTTTGTTTTGTTTTGTTTTTTTTGTTTTCCTCCGGTACTGGGAACCGAACTCATGACCTTGCGCTTGCCAGGCAGGCGCTTTTGCCGCTGAGCTAAATCCCCAGCCCCTGT